AGGCGTCTTGCCATCTTGGTTATTCTAGAGCAGGGGTTCTCAAACTTTAAACAGGAGGCCAGTTCACTGTCCCTCAGACCATTGGAGGGCCAGACTTCAGGCCCTGGGATGAGTTGGCTGCTAAGTAGGACAGGCAGCAGCAGCAAAAACACCTGATGAGCCAGATAGATGTCCTTGGCAGGCTGCAGTTTGAGGAAGCCTGCTTTAGCCCATCCTCACAGTCAGTGGATAATTCAGAATATTATTTATCATTTACACCTTATCTGTGCTAACTCACAGCCTTGAGTTGTTTGTACATTTGTTTAGCATGTCTTGGGCAGATTAATCCAAATGATAGTTCACAGAGTTGTTTTCAGGTTAACATTTTCCCATAATCTTATTTTCCCCATAGTCTTCGAAGGTGGCATTCAACAACTGTGAATTATTGAACTGTAGTGTCATCAGGCTTCTTACTGCTCAAAATGTGATTCTAGGTTCAGCATCAACTAGAAGTTTATGTTAAGGATATAGGTTAGGCCAGGCATGGTGGCTTATGCCTGGAATCCTAGCACTCTGGAAGGCCAAGGCCGGTGGCTTGCTTGAGCCCAGGAGTTCGAGACCATCTTTAGCAAGTACGAGACCCCCTTTTAAAAAAAATAAATAAAAGTAGCTAGGCATTGTGGTGGCCACCTATAGTCCCAGCTAATTGGGAGGCTGAGGTAAGAGGATCACTTGAGCCCAAGAGTTTGAGGTTGCTGTGAACTGTGATGTAACAGCACTCCTCTACCAAGGGTGTCAAAGTGAGACTCTGTCTCCAAAAAAAAAAATAGATTAGTGCTAAAGTGAAAAAAAGTAAAAACTGAAAGACTCTCTGGCCCTACCCCTAACCTACTGAATCAGAATCTGTATTTAACAAGATTTTCACATCATTCCTGTGTATGTTACAGTTAGAGAAGTACTGATTAATCCTACATTTCTTTGTAATGGTAGGGAGAGAAACTTCAGATTCTGTGCAAAAACCAAGGTGCAAGGCAGCAGTTTCATCCCACTGTCCCTATCAAAGAGGTTCTTAACCTGTAGAAATTTTAAAATACCCAATGTCTGGCCAACCCCAGAGAAAGCTCTCTAGGTGATTCTGTTGTGCAAGCCAAAGTTGATAATCCCTGTTTTAAGGAAATAAAGTTAATTCGGTAGTTAACTCCACTTCTCATGGAATGTTGTCTTCTTTGTGCTTGAAGTTTATCTCATAGTCTGTTACAGTTTTCCTCTAGATTTATTTTTAGATTTTACTTCTCTTTAGTTTGTACACTGTCTCATCCTCTATAGTACACTTCCCTGTTTTGGAAGATGAGATCATTTAAAATTCCAAGTTCTTCAGCATTTTTCCTGTTTTCTGTGTTATCTCAAACATTATCATTAGAAGTTATGCAGTCTTGGCTTTTGGTTCTCTTTGAAAAGTGTATTTTTCCTACTCTTTGCAGTTGGAAGTTGATTCTTATTATTGAACAAAATAGAAGTTGAGTGAGTCTTACCTTCCATCTTCTGTAATATGCCAGATTTCCTACTATACTGAGTATGAGGCCTCTTTATTGTTTAAGATTCTGTTTTTTAAATGTCCCATGTTCTGGCAAGTTTCTCTTCCTGCTGGGCTTTAATCTCCCTGGTAACTCTTTCTTTGTTTCTTTCTTTTTCTTTCTTTCTTTTTTTTTTTTTTTTTGAGACAGAGTCTCACTCTGTCGCCCTTGGTAGAGTGCCATGGCATCGCAGCTCATAGCAGCCTCCAACTCTTGGGCTTAAGCAATTCTCTTACCTCAGCCTCCTGAGTAGCTGGGACTACAGGCACCCACTACAACGCCCAGCATTTTTTTTGGTTGCAGTTGTCATTGTTGTTTAATAGGCCCGAGCCCCGGCTTGAACCTGCCAGCTTCCATGTATGTGGTTGCCTGGTGCCCTACTCACTGCGCTACAGGCACCGAGCCCCTGGTAACTCTTCTTAAAGACTTTGTGCCACTGTTGTAACTGTTGTTGGCATGTGAGTTTTCTGTTATCTTTGGTTTATGTCTTTTAAAGTTAGGATTTATCAGATGGCATTGCCTTCTTTAGAAGATTTATATTTTTCAAGCCTTTTAACCCTACAATTATTGTTAGAACTATTTACTGATCCTTCACAAGTAGATTTTGTTCTAAATTCCATGTATTAGTTTTCAAAATATTAAGTGCTTTAAGAACATTAGCCACATGTTCTTAGCCAATTTGAGAAATTATAGCTCAAGTTTCTGCTCATTTTCTGTATTTTTAAAAATCAGCTGCTTTTTACCATTTCCAATACCAAATTATATTACTTGAGATACATGTGGGAAAATTTGGCTTCTTTTGTTTGTTGATTAGGGTATATTGTTTTGTTTTGGTGCTTTGTCCATGTAACTTTTATGAGTGTTTATTTAAGTGTCTGATTTCTAGCCTTTCAAGTATCATAAGATCAGAATTTGTCAGAAATTTCTATGATTTAGTCTTATCAAAATTAGGGAATGTTAGTTATGAGACAAGAAAAATATTTCCAAAAATACTATTTTCTCCTCTCTTCCCTTCCTTGACATCCTCATCTAATTTAAACAATGATAGGACAGTTCTAAGAATAATGATCTGAGGAAAACGGAGATCTGGGGTTGCCCATTCTACACTAAAATTTTGAGGCTGGCAAGGAGGCAGTTTGACAAGATAAAGTTTGTGTTTTCGTATCTGGAAGACAGTTTGTTTTTCTCTTTAGAATTGATTTGTGAACATTCTGGTATATCATGCATTGCATGTAGGGGTGTGTGGGGTTAAATTTTAGCATACAAATACAGATTACCTTTTTTTCCACAAATCAATTTTGTATAATGTCCTAGTCAGCTTGAAATACTGTAATGAAACACCATAATCTGGGTGGCGTATAAGGAACAGAAATTTATTTTTCACAATTGTAGAGGCTAGAAAAATCCAAGATTAAGGTGCCAGTAGATTCAGTGTCTGATGAGGGCCAGGTTCCTCATAGATGGATGTCATTTCACTGTAACCTCACATGACAGAAAGGGCAAATGAAGGGGGACTGTTTTAAAGCCTGGAAAAGGCTCTCTGGGGACTATTTAATAAGGGTAGAGAATGGACATTTTGTTTGGAGTTTTCCCATACCTTAGATTGTTTACTACCATTATTTTTCATTAGTGTTGTTAATTGAGAGTGTGTGGAAATCTGCTAATATTCTAATTTCCTTAAGCTCATACAATTAGTGAATGATAAATAAGAATTTTTAGCTGATTTTACATATTGCTTACAGTAGGGTTTGGCATACTTTATCTGTAAAGGTCCAGATAGTATTTTAGGCTTTGCAGATCAAAAAGCAAAATTTAACATGTTATATAGTTAACGTATATAAAAAGAGAAACCAAATTCCCATGAAGATTGCTTGATAAAACTCAACAATAATAATTGAGTATAATTAGGTTTACTAATGTGAGAGGAGAATGGCATTCTTTTTGGGGATAACATTTAAATTGATATTCAAAGGTTCCTTATTATTTGCACATGTTTATCTATAATTGCTGACTTGAAAGATTTTTCATATTTCACCTTTGAAAATGTCCTTTTATACATGTAGGTACTGCTGTCTTAATCCACAAGCATGTTATTTTGATCAAGAATATTTATCTTTTAGGGGGCATTTATTGAATTGTTAGATTCTTTTCTTAATATTTATCTTTTAACATATTATACTGCATAGTTATCACTTCCAGTAGAGGGTTAGATGGAATGTTCCTCAATTGCACGGTAAAATGAAGTGCGAAATAAGGAAATTTCCTTTTCACTTGCATTGGGGGTCCACAAAATGGTTCTTGAACTATAGTTTGAGCTTAGAAAATATGTCTGCTATAAGTTAGTATGTGAATGGAGGCTTTATTTGTACAAGAAATGCATAAAACCACTTGACATTACTTTTGATACTAGTGTTAGTAATTACTGAAATGACTTTACCATAGTATGTCCTGTAGAAAGACTACCCAGTGTAAGTGTTGGATTTAAGCAACATTTACTTTGTTATTTTAGGTTAAATTCATTAAGCAACATTATCAAGGATGTAGCAAAAGCTTTTTTCAAACTATTTATTGTTTGATAATAGTAAATCAGGGCAGTTCAAACTCAGAAAAAAGATCCATCTTTGCTTTGCATTCAACATATCACCACAAAACTTTACGAATATTAAGCTGTCAAAACATTTTAAACAGTATAGCTTTTTAGACCATAGTTTTCCTGTGAATTGGAATATTATGACTACTGTTTAGTAATGTCAGTGTATATTGTATTGTTTCATCATAGAAGTATATAATATCTCTGTATAATAAACAATTCTTGCCATCTAATCTGATAGCAAAATTTATTTTCTGCTGTGCCTTTAAACGTGACATATTCAAATGCATTTTTCCTTTATTTGACATGATGAGTATGTATTGGTAGTTTTTCAAATGTCGCTATATAGTGGCACTTGAAATACTGTCCAGTTATAACCTCATCACTGCAACTTAGAGGATACAGAGCAGCAGTGCAAAGCAATGAGTGCCACATGCATTCTCACAACTGTTGAATTCTGCCATTACAACATAGAAGCAGCCATAGATAGAATGTAAATGAATGTGTATGGCTTTGTTCCAGTAAAACTTAATGAATACTGAAATGTGAATTTCAAGTAATTTTTGCCTATCACGAAATACTCTTTTTAAAAATCCTTTAAAAGTGTAAAAGGCATTCTTAGACAGAAAGGAGAATAAAAACATGCAGCGGGGCTGGATTTGGCCTCAGAGCTAGAGTTTATTAACTCCTAATCTCGGCTTTTCTTAGTATAACAATGCTCTTCAGGAGCTTTTTTGTTGGGAAGCTTTATTCATTTGAGGTCTTGACCTACATTCTGGATTTTCACATAATTAAAAGTGTTGTAAAGAGTACATAGTGACTTCAGTTTTCAAAGTTGGTCTCCCTTCTCCCTTTAGGTAATTTTCCACTTGTTCATCAAGATGGAAAACTCAGATTCTAACGACAAAGGAAATGGTGATCAGTCTGCCGCACAGCGCAGAAGTCAAATGGACCGATTGGATCGGGAAGAAGCTTTCTATCAATTTGTGAATAACCTGAGTGAAGAAGATTATAGGCTTATGAGAGATAACAATTTGCTAGGCACCCCAGGTATGTTATGTGTAATTTAAGGATGTATATATGTAAATTCCTGCATTTTTAAAAAAATGCTTTAACCTGTTTTAAAAATCAGTTTTAGCCATTATGCAATACATTTATTTAATATAAAGGCAATAGGATGACATTTGCTATTGTATTTACTACCTGATTCTATTTATCCATATATGGAATTATACTATGTCAGATAATTTTTTTAAATTTATTTATTTATTTTTTTATTTTGCAGTTTTTTGGCCAGGACTAGGTTTGAACCCACCACCTCTGGCATATGGGGCCGGCACCCTACCCTTTTGAGCCACAGGTGCTGCCCTATATCAGACAAACTTTTAAGTTGCTATATTATTAATTTTTAGTGAACTTAATTGAAAAGAATGGAGCTGAAGAATCTTTTTAGTTAGCTTTATTTAACTTACAGATCCAAATGTACAATAGCTAATGGGAACTTCATTCTTAGGACAGACTTATCTCTGGTTTTCTGAACATATCCCAATTTTAATTTCCCAGAGCTAGCTTTGAGTAAGATAGCAATTAGAATTTTTTTTTTTTTTTTTTTTGAGACAGAGCCTCAAGCTGTCCCCCTGAGTAGAGTGCCATGGCATCACGCTCACAGCAACCTCCAACTCCTGGGCTCAAGCGATTCTCCTGCCTCTGCCTCCCAAGTAGCTGGGACCACAGGCGCCCGCCACAACGCCCGGCCATTTTTTGATTGCAGCCGTCATTGTTGTTTGGCGGGTCCGGGCTGGGGATTCGAACCCGCCACCTTAGGTGTACGTGGCTGGCGCCTCAGCCGGTTGAGCTATAGGCGCTGAGCCAGCAATTAGAATTTTATTCACATTTTCTTTTTCCTCACTAAGTCCTGTTTTATCTTAGTTAAAACTCAGTGTCTGTCTTCCTCCTGATTTGTTTAATTCTGCCAACCTTTAGGTGATTGCTTAAATTTAAAAAGGTAAGGTTTTAACATGACTTTTAAGACAGGGAGTGGGTTTTGAGCCAACAGTACCAGACTTGAATAAGAATGCCTTAGTTGGAGTTCTGGCTCTCTTGTTAATTAGTGTGGCTTCTGGCAAGCCAATCACTCAGTCTGTTTTCTTATTTTAAAATGTAGATAACAGTATCTCTCCTCAGAGTTTCAATTTTTTAAAATAAGGGATTGTATACAGAAGTACCTTGTAAACTGAAAAGACCCTTGTAAAGATGTAGTACATTTCCAAAGAAGTGTATTTTTCTCAGGTTCCTCCTCCTTGGTTTTCATCTAAGAGTCACTTTTTTTTTCTTTTTTTTAATTTTAGTTTTAAAAATTCTCTCTTAAGCTATTTTGAAATATAATTTCTAATCATTTTGCGTCAGATCAGATAAAAAAGTATTTGGTTGTCATGTCCTTAATCTCATCTTTGCCCTGTGGTGTATAAAGGTTCCTGGTTTTCATTTGTAATTTGGGAAACATTTTTAAATTTTCAGGTGAAAGTACTGAGGAAGAGTTGCTAAGAAGACTACAACAAATTAAAGAGGGTCCACCACCACAAAACTCAGATGAAAATAGAGGTATATTTTGCTTTATGGGTTGGTGGGTAGAGGATGGAATAAGAGCTTTTTATAATAGTAAATGTCAGCCAGAGATTATCCAGAAATGGCACAAATTAATTTGATACTAAATAACTGCTTATAAAAAGAGCACTGGCATTTTCTTGATAATTGGTGAGGATGTCAGCATGTTTTTTTCCTGCCTTACCTTTGGGTTGTTTGTGTTAATTGCGCGATGGCCTATTTTAAATGGGATTTTTTTTCTTGGTTTTTTATCTCCCTTGAAATTTCCTCCTACTTAGTTCTTTCTTTATAAATATGTGCCTTCTTTAGATGCAAAAGGAAATGTTATATTCTCTAACCCAGTGGTTCCTAATGCAGTATAATTTTGTCTCCCTCAGAGGCACTGGCAAGGTCTGGAAACAGTTTGGGTTGGTAAAACTGGGTGTTTGCTTCTGGTTTTTAGTATGTAAGGGGGGGCTGTTAAACATCCTGATACCTTATAATGCTGCAGGCAGCAGCCCTAGGGCACAGACAGTGGCCTTTTGGGAACCAGACCATACACCGTCTCTACTTGAGCCTCCACCACCTCTCCCATCCTTACCCCCACAGGAAAAATTGTCTTCCATGAAACTGGTCACTGGTGCCAAAAGATTAGGGGTGGCTGCTACTATAATGCACAGCACAGCTTCTACAACAAAGAATTAACTTTCAAAATGTTGATAGTGCCACTATTGAGAATTCCTACTCTAATCTCAGATCTGGTGTTTCCCTCCCAATGTGATGGCTAGGGATTATGACTGTATGACCCAAAAAAGTCTATGATGCTAGTTTGGCTTGTGAACCAACCATTATGTACACTATGCAAGGTGCAGGCTACTTATTTAATCTGATCTTCAATTATGTGTCAATTTAAAATCTTGGTAACATTAAGATATATTCAAATACTTGTAAATTTTTTTTGGAATAGAGTCTCACTTCATCACTCTGGGTAGAATGCCATGTGTCATAGCTCACAGCAACCTCATACTCTTGGGCTCAAGCAATTCTATTGCTTCAGCCTACTAAGTACCTGGGACTACAGGTGCCCATTGCAGCGCCTGGCTATTTTTTGTACAGATGGAGGTGTCACTCTTGTTGAGGCTGATCTCAAACTCTTAAGCTCAAGCAATCCACCCTAGGATTGCAGATGTGAGCCACTGTGCTCAGCATACACTTTTAAAACCTTGTTTATATTTTTGTTATGGCTACAGTAGTCCTGTATTTTAAAACAACCTCATGTGTTATCAAAGGCATATAAAGGGCACATAAAGGCCTAAAGTAATGTAAACAAATGAAAATTTGAACAAAAACACTAGTATTGTACCCTAACTAGCATTTGTTTACCTAGTTAGATTATATTAGTGTTTTGACAGTAGACTTAGAAATGTTTTCTGATAGCTCCGCAGTGCTATACTAGGCTCTGTACATGATGAAATACCCAAAACAGACTTCTTCCATATTCCCCTTTAAAAATAATGTTCTAAAGTTTTCTCTAGAATTAACTTGTTCTTTTCAAATGGAATTAAAATTTTTTTGACTTTAACTTAAAAACATGTACAGCATAGTTTGCAAAACTCTATAAACATGAAATGTGTTCAGAATTTAAACTTTGCTTTAATACAAATATTGATTGTCTTAATTTTAGTAGTTTCTTTTTCTCCCTCTTCCCCTTCTTCATTTTAAACAGGTGGAGACTCTTCAGATGATGTGTCTAATGGTGACTCTATAATAGACTGGCTTAATTCTGTCAGACAAACTGGAAATACAACAAGAAGTGGACAAAGAGGAAACCAATCTTGGAGAGCAGTGAGCCGGACTAACCCAAACAGTGGTGATTTCAGATTCAGTTTAGAGATAAATGTTAACCGTAATAATGGGAGTCAAAATCCGGAGAATGAAAGTGAGCCATCTGCAAGACGCTCTAGTGGAGAAAATATGGAAAACAACAGCCAAAGGCAAGTGGAAAATTCACGATCTGAATCTACATCTGTAAGGCCATCTAGATTAGAACGTAATTCAACTGAAGCATTAACAGGAGAAATCCCACCTACGAGAGGTCAGAGGAGGGCAAGAAGCAGGAGCCCTGACCATCGGAGAACCAGAGCCAGAGCTGAAAGAAGTAGGTCACCTCTGCATCCAGTCAGTGAAACTCCGCGAAGATCTCACCATAGTACCTCATCTCAGACTGTGGAGCATTCTTTGATAAATGAGACTGAGGGAAGTTCTAGAACCCGGCACCATGTGACACTGAGACAGCAAATATCTGGACCTGAGTTACTAAGTAGAGGTCTTTTTGCAGCTTCTGGAACAAGAAATGCCTCTCAAGGAGCAGGTTCTTCAGACACAGCAGGCAATGGTGAATCCACAGGATCAGGACAGAGACCTCCAACTATAGTCCTTGATCTTCAAGTGAGAAGAGTTCGTCCTGGAGAATATCGGCAAAGAGATAGCATAGCTAGCAGAACTCGATCTAGGTCTCAGACACCAAACAACACTGTCACTTATGAAAGTGAACGAGGAGGTTTTAGGCGTACGTTTTCACGTTCTGAGCGGGCAGGTGTGAGAACCTATGTTAGTACCATCAGAATTCCCATTCGTAGAATCTTAAATACTGGTTTAAGTGAGACCACATCTGTTGCAATTCAGACCATGTTAAGGCAGATAATGACAGGTTTTGGTGAATTAAGCTACTTTATGTACAGTGACAGTGATTCAGAGCCTAGTGGCTCAGTCCCAAGTCGAAATACGGAAAGGGCAGAGTCACGGAATGCAAGAGCAGGTTCTGGTGGTAGTAGTAGTTCTGGTTCCAGTTCAAGTTCCAGTTCTAATTCCAGTTCTAGTTCCAGTCCTAGTTCCAGTTCTACTGGTGAAAGTTCAGAATCTAACTCAGAGGTGTTTGAAGGAAGTAATGAAGGAAACTTATCATCAGGCTTATCAGGTACCAGGCGAGAGGGTCGACATAGGGCCCCAGTCACATTTGATGAAAGTGGTTCTTTGCCCTTCCTTAGTCTGGCTCAGTTTTTCCTCTTAAATGAGGATGATGATGACCAACCTAGAGGACTCACCAAAGAACAGATTGACAACTTGGCAATGAGAAGTTTTGGTGAAAATGATGCATTAAAAACCTGTAGTGTTTGCATTACAGAATACACAGAAGGCAACAAGCTTCGTAAACTACCTTGTTCTCATGAGTACCATGTTCACTGCATTGATCGCTGGTTATCTGAGAATTCCACCTGTCCTATTTGTCGCAGAGCAGTCTTAGCTTCTGGTAACAGAGAAAGTGTTGTGTAATTAAGATTTGAACTCTCAGCTATGTAGCTGGTATAGTGATGGGCAAACAGGAATCCCTTGCTTTTATGTCCACTTTTTGAGTGGTACTTAAATGTAAAGAAACAACCTGAATTGAGTCATTGCTTTCTGAAGAAATCATTGTCCTTTCTCCAGTTTTTCTTTTAGAATAAAAGGAAATATTTAAAAAGTAATGTTTTAGGATCTAAAAATCCTGATTCCAATACCAGGTGAATTGGTAGCAGCTCTGTTACTGATAATTTATCATATACACTTGTCAGTTTCTCCTTTGTTATCTTAAAAGATCTGCCTTAGCAATGGCTCTTGTCTGTTTCATATTGATCTTTAAAGTTTTCCACGCCATAGGAGAGAGGGGCGGAGGAAATTCCCAGTTTAGACTAAGTTACAGTCCCTGTTTCATGAGTGATTACTTAGAGCTGTATCATTCCCAGTTACTAGTTGATGCACATTCAGCCACATTCTGAAGATCATTTATTCACTTTTCAGACTAGATGATATCAGACATGTCAGTGTAAATAACACTAAGTTTAGGATCTTCTAAGTGTATAACTGTTTCCTAAGCCCATCACTAAGGCGCACTGTAGAGTGAGCTTGTAGTTTAATTGAGATAATTTATCTTGTGGAAATATTAAAAAACCTATGCTTGTGTAAGTGAAAAAATTACATTCATTTGTTTAAAAATGTAAAGCTATTTTGTAGAGGCTCAGTACTTTTCCAATGCACTGTTATATTAATGCATTAAAAATTGTAAAGTACCATGCTTAGAAATGAGAAAACTGCTTTTTGTGAGCCAACATAGTAAAAAACACATCAAACAAAGTACAAAGCTGCTTTTGTAAGTGTGTAGATGTCAAGAGCAGAACATATCTATGATATTCAATGTATATGAACAGCTACTGTGACATGCAAAGGAAAGGACAGTGCAGAATCAACCTGCATTAAAGACCAGTGGAAATTGTGTATTTTAACTTGGATTTAGGCAGGAAGTGAAAAATGGGAAGTAAAACTGCTCTGAAGAATTTATAATTTTTACAAAGATAGAAATAATGCAGACATGAACTGGTTTCATATGGTGAGAGCAGCAGCAGCAGCTTGATCTATTATTCTATCTGAGTAGATGAAGCAAAAGATCCGCAAATTTGGCAAGGATTTGATTTAAGAAAAACCACTACCACCTAGCACAAGTAAAATTGATGTTTTTATAAGTCTTCTCCTCAAAAAAAAAAAAAGTAGAGGAAAGAGACTATAAACCACTTTTAGCATACAAATTACAGTTGGTACAGATGTGTGTGCTAATAGGAAAATCTCGAATTTGTTTTCGAGATTTATCATTTAAGGTACCAGTGCACACTTGCTAATATTTTTATTTCTATCTAATACTTAACATCTCACATTCAAAGATCAGTTGAAGATTAAAGAATTTTTATCCTTTGTTTGAGATGAGTCGTGTTGTGTTATTTGAAATTCAAATTTTTAATTGTGCTGCCCATATTTGAAGATGAGGCTGCTGACTCACTATCTATGGACATGCACTTTATATTGTTTCTTAGTAGTAAGAATAGCTTTGTGATAACTCTAGTACTCTCACCTAATTTCTCTTTTGAGGCCAGTTGGGGTTAGGATTAGCCTGACTGTGGAGTAGATACTTGTTTTTCTGGGAAAAGCTAACAAGCCAAAAGAGGAATTGAACAGGTCCTTGGCCTTTAACAAAGCAAGCTAACCACCCAGACGTGGTCAAATATTCTACAAAATAACACAAGTATGGTTATCTTCACTGCTATCAACTTTGCTGTAAAGATTATTTCAAAGCTCATTCTTAAATGTTTTCTTCTGGCTTTCAGTCCTACCTAAGCATCCAGGAAGTTAACTTGTAAATATGGTAGTTGTTTACTAAGGATATGTACTGCTCTTGCAAGGAAATAATGTCCAAACAAAGCTTCACTTATTTTTTTTTTAAATATAAGCAGATTTCACTGTTTATGGCGCTTATGTAATACATTTTATCTTTTAAAAAAAAATGTCCATGTAAAAGTCAGGATTCCTTTATATTTGTGAGCCTCCTTGTCTCCTTTCCTAACGGTGTAATCTATAGTTTTCAGATCTGCAGGGTAGTCCTGATTGGCTAAAAACAAATCCATTTTCTTGGCATAAAATGGTTATTTCAGATAGTTTAAAAACAACTACAGTACATCTTAAGCAGTTGTTGACAACAGGCACCACCCTAACCTCCCAAGATGTATTACTCATTTGTGAAGTATTAAAGTAAGATTGGTAACTCAAACAGAATGCTGGTTATGAATGTAGATATTAAAGCTTTTCATAAACACTGGAAGTAGAATTTTAAGCTTTTAGCCATTAGTAGAACGCACATATTGGACATGTGCATGTGGACACCTTTTTCAATAGCACTCGTTGATTTCCATTGGATTGTGTAGAATGAATACAAGTATTTTAGTGGAATTTGCTACTTTTTTTATTTTGTGAGGTCCATGACTAATATATATGTACTGTTGTTGTGGACATTGAAGACAAGGTCATATGTAGGTGGCAGATCTACAATGGAGAACAATCTTTTTTCTTCACCAGCATCCAAACACCTATTGAGGGAACGTTTTCTTGCAAAAAGACTTTACATTTCACTTCATATCTTTGCACTTTTTCTTTATTACAGAAAGATTCTGTCTCTAAGACCTAGTTTGAACTTCATGCAGTAATAAGAACAAGAGAAAACAATGTTGGGAGTTTGCATTATTCAAAGCATAGGGAAAAGTACTAAAACCTGAATTTTATTAACTATTTCAGATGTTTTTACAAATTCACCTACTAGTCTAAAATGTTTAAAGTCATTTGTTGTTTAACTCCAAGCGGCTACAGACAAGGTTGAGATTTATTAGTACTATTAGAAACAAAATTGAAAAGTTAGGTTAAAAGTTTGCAGACTTTATCTGTAGCAACATCAGAAGAGAGCCATGTTGTTAATTTGGGATTATTTGCTCTAAAATGAACACAAATTTATACCTCAGTGATGTTAATGGAGGTGGGGATTGAGAAGAGTGTTCACATTAGTGTTGGAATGTACGTAATAATTGTATAGTCATAGGAGAACCTTTAGTGCCAGGAGATTCATAGGTTCATTTGAGCCTGTAATGTATACACACAGTCTTTTAAGAACATGATTATTGAAATTCATCCAAACTTTAGGAAACTGGTTTAGCTGTATTACCTCAAGTAATGTCCCCACCCCTGGGAAAACATCTTTTCTGTGCCAAGTATTCTCTCCTAGGCAGTGTCTCTGATTATATTTATGGAGGGTTATCACTTAGTATACTTTGTATTTAACCATCTGCCTCCCATGTGTCCACCACATGAAATGGGTCAAGCATCAGCATTGACTTTCACTTCTCCAAATACCCATGTGACAGGGAGGTAAATGTTGCAAAATGCCTCTAAAAAGGTTTATACAACTTGCTAGGATTCAGTGGCACCTTGTGGTTATTAATATATTCTTTTAAAGATGGAGGATATTTTTATTCTCCCTTTTCTCCTTTGTTCTTTTGTGAATGAAAAATTCATAATCTGCCTTATTTGATTTTTTTTTAAGTTTTACTGGCTTCCCTGTGAAATGTTTTACCAATATTAAGTACATAGAAGCCATGTTTGCAGGGCACTTTTATTCTTTCCTAGTCTTACAAGACTATGCTAATTGCTACTTTTCTGAAGTATTCTATACTTTAGTAATGTAAGAGATTGATAAGGCACCTGTTAAAATGTCAGGTGGGTTTTTTTTTTTTTCCCTTAAGTATAGTAGAATTCTTTAGTATGTTTACTATTCGTTAGCAATGTTTTTGTAAATTGTGTGCTTTTGAAAATGTAAATGAGCATACATGCTTCATTTGGAAAGTTAAAAGTCCAAGAAACTAGTATTTCACTTATTTTTAAATCAGATTTTTAATAAGCAACTAAGAACTGCTGTGAGTTCAGTACCCACCCTTTAAAAGTTTTATTAGCATTTTAAAGTTAAGAATTTGTTACCTTAACTGGAACAGTTCTAAATTATTATCTGATATTTCCAACAAGTGATGATCTCATTTGAGTAACCCTAGTTACTAGTATCTTAAATTGTACAGCATTAAATAGAGCTGTTATTGGGGTGTTAGAATTCTCAAGTGATCTTGAAACAGTTTGTATTTTATGATTCTTTTCATGTCTCCATTTAGATCTGAATGGAACAGGCATACTCTTCACTCTAAAAATAACAGTGAGATACTTGTTTTTTATTAATATTTTGTTTACTAAAGTTCCTCAAGCTTCTTCATAGTCACTTGAGTTGAGTAGTAGTTATCTTAAAGACATGCAGTGAAATCAGATCCTGTCATACCACTGTGCCTCTTTATTTCAAGGCTCCTCCATCAGTTCCTCATCTTGCAGATTGATTCCAATACCAAGGTATGGTTGAACCAGCTTCCCAACCTTAACTCTACTTAGTGCCCCATTACTACTGTTTGAACTGATCTGTATGTGTTTTAACTGTCCAATATTTGGTTCTTACCTCTTGATAGATCCATTTGTCCCTGGTGCTGCTTTTAAATATTTAGGGCCATGTGATGATCAGGTATTAAGTTGAGTAGGTACACATTTGGCCTGGATATGTATCTGTGCCTGTTTTATCTTCTCCCAGGAAGAGTTGCTTTGGTATAGATGTTTACTTGGATTCATATAAAGAACCGGGTGACAATCTAGGAAAGCTTTCTGAAGCCTTTAAGAACCTGAAGTTTTGGAGGGGAGGACAGTAACAAAGGCTGCCTTTATGTCTTTGAACACAAAGCACATAAACATATGTTGTGTAAAGACTTAAGTGATTATTGTACCAGGGCTTCCTGACCTCTGGGAGAGATCTAAGAAGCAGAGAGGAGCACAAAGTGAAGTGAATGTGGTTGGCTTGCTTTATCTTGTTTCTCATTTTCTTTCAGTTTAAACTTAAATATAACACCCTTTTCCAATATCTGTCCGGGAGATTCCTGGTTGGGAAGCCCTGTATTAAATTTTGAGAATGTACCCAGTTTTCTTTTTGTACAGTGCTTAAACTTGCTAAAATTTAATTTGTTCAATGCAAAACAAGACCTTGGAAGGTCAGTCATATTAAAGCTGGTTTGATTATTAATAGTTCTCTTTTAGGAAGAAGCCTTTTCCCTATGTAAGATGTCATACTGCAGATTTAAAATATAGACTATCAATAAAATGCATGAAGTGATTATTCGTGCTTGATCATCTCGCTTTGGGTTTTTCTTTAAAAGGGGGAATCTTCTAAAGGTTCTGTTGCTTCAAACCAATGTCAATAGACTTGATTTTTAGAATCAAGTGGGATTACAGTTCAACCTTGATTTCGATTCCCCTCACTGCTGCGAGTATGGACAGGTACTGGTTTATCTGATATAACTTCCATTTTATCTGTGTTGTGTAGTTTAATGGCTAAATCTTTGATAAAAGATTAAAAGTATATTCTGATACAAGAATACGGGAAAGTTTTACGTAAGTAACATTTTAAAAGGTGCGTCTTTGCTCTTTCTCGTATTCTCACCATTTCCCTGATCACTCCCTTGCTTGACCTCTATATATACAAAACTTGGAGGTAAACGTGTGCTTATATAGCTTCTGTCTTCCTTCTATCCATACTTCCAACCTCTTAAACATGTGCTTTAGCCATTAAGATGTCCTTGTTTCAAGTAAATCACATTCTGATAACCTGGAAGACTTCCCCTTAGTG